GTTTGCAAAGTCACCCTACAAACTGCAAGGAACCATGACTCACAGATCAATCGTAACTAAGTAAACAATTCTGAAACATGAAACATCAGCCCTGAAAGGAAAAAAACTAGTTACTGTTTGGAGTTAACAGACTATTCAAGGTTTCTGAATCCAGTGTTACATGGGTTAAGGAGACGTGCTTTGTCTCTGTGTGCTGACAAGGTAGAAAAAGACTATTATTGTGTGGGGGGTGATACTAGCATCAAACGAAGGACTGTTATAGCCTAGGCACACTTTGTTCCACTGAACTAAACTCAGATACACACAAACTTTCCTTATCTTAAAAAAAAAAGGCACTTTTCTTCTTCTTCTTTTTTTGGAGGCTGGGCCTGGCTAGCCTGGAACTCACTTTGTAGACTAGGTGGGCCTCAAACTCAGAGCTCTGCCTGCCTCTACCTCCCAAGTGCTGGGATTACAGGGCTTATTCTACTAACTGGAGAAAGAATTCTTACACCAGAGACATTTCAAGGAATTTTCAGAATGCGAAAAAAAAATTTAGGGAGAGACAAACTGTATTTAATATTTTGATTATCTGTCTAGAATATTATAGATCACTTTAGTGTAATATATTATTGTCCCTTATCAGCAATCTCCCACTGGTTAATCTGTTGGTTTTCTACAGTGAATCTTCGATTCCACCCAATGTTTTATTGAAGATATTACTTTCTTTAAAAGCATACTGTGATCTCATGTATAAGTCATTATTAAAAATTACTGGGTATGGCAGCACACGTGCTTGTTATCCTAGCACCCAGGGAGGCTAATGCAGGAGCGTCACAAGTTCAAGGCCAGGGGCTAGGGAGCTGGCTCACTGGGTAGGAGGGCTTGCTGCACAAACAGAAGGACCTCAGTCTGAGTCTTCAATACCACGTTAAATAAACAAATGGACTTGGAATAGTCACATGGGCCTGTAATACAGTGCAGCACGTTTGTGTGTATGTCTGATTGGGAATTGGGTGGCAGGGAGACTGAGGCAGGAAGATTGATGGGGCTTGCTAGCCAGCTGGCCTAGCCAATCAGCAGTGAGCTCCAGGGGCAGTGAGAAACCCTGTCTTGGGAATAGAGCAGAAAGTGGTAGAACCCCGGACATCCTCCTTTAATGTTGACATGTATGTGCCTGGGCACCACATGTGCATACACAGAGACGACCACACACACACACACACACACACACACACACACACACACACACACACACACACACACACCCCTGATATGGGATACCCCTCTGTATGCTGTGAATATGTTCTGTTAACATTGGTTAATAAAGGAGCTGATTTGGCAAATGGCCAGACTTTTGTACAAGACTTTAGTCCAAGGCGGGAAATTCAAACGGAGATACAGAGAGAAAGAAGGCAGAGTGGGAGAGACGCCATGGAGACACCGGAGAAGCAAGATGTGGGGTAACAAGCCACAAGCCTCGAGGTAAAATATAGAATAATAAAGATGGGTTAATTTAGTTATCAGAGTAGTCAGTAACGAGCCATTGGCCAAACAATTATAATTAGATTAAGCCTCTGAGTATTTGGGAACTGGCAGGCTGGAGAGACACCTCCATTTACACACACACACACACACACACACACACACACACACACACACCTCTTCAAAGTCAGCCTAGATGATATAGTGAGACCCTATCTCAAATAAAACTGAGTGTCTTTTTTTGACCTCTTTCCTGATGTTACATAGAACACAAGCCAGAAGCCAGGTTTGGGAAGCTGACTCACTATAGTGAGGGCGAACGTGGGGTTCTGGAGATGACCCACACCGAGAGTAACTCTGTAGGCATGTTCAACGGCTGTGGGACAGACAGTGTGGTTAACTAGAGGCCCGTGTCAGTAGGCGAGTTTACAGCATGCACATGTGACTGACACCATGAGTATGCCTTTCTTACTGATCAGTGTGAGCCCACGCTTGGCGCCTACGGAATGCCAGCATTTGATGAATGAGGAATGTGTACATACCGAGATTCTGTGCCAAATTCAGGTATGTGAGCTTCGCCTAGAGACGGAAAAGGACTATGACATACTACAGTCTCTCCCTCGGTAGCACTCAGTAGCTCTGACTAGGGCTTGTAAATGTAACAAGTTCTAAGAAACCCCATGGTCTGAGGACCCACCTGTATGTGTTTGCTGCCTAGGAAGCCAATACATTCAAAGGCACAGTGCTTTAGATATGGTCCCTGACTTGATCTCAACCCATTCGACTGGAAACTCCATGGGGCAAACAGCACCTCCAGAGTGTTCATCACACCATACCTGCTCTTGGCATAATGCTAAAATAAAGACGTTTTCTAGATGACCCTGGCTTGATCTGAGCCTATACATGGCCCTTCCCTGACACATGACAATCTATAAATACCTTCTGGTACTCTACCTTAACTCTTTACGATGATGTCAATTAAAAGTCCCAATTCTCAATCAGAGACAAACACTGGCTACATAACCTATATTTTCCTATAATGAAGTCTAAGTTATTTGGGCCTTTTCACAGGAAAAAAAAAGCTAAAAAATTATAAGAAATATATATCAAAAAATCTTAAGACTATTCAAAGCGCTGAGATAATAACGTAAAATTTAGGTCACCAGAGAGCAAATCAGGCAGGAGATGCATTTAGCATTTAGAGTACATTATGCTCTTGGAGAGGCCCAGTTTGGTTCCCAGCACTCACTTCATGGGGTTCACAAGTGCCTGGATCTCTGGCTTCAGGGGGCCTTAGACACATACACATAGTTAAAAATGAAAATAAAATCTAAAAAAAAAAAGCAAAGGAAAACTAGGATCATAACAACATTGTGTGGTTTTGCCAGTCTCCCCCAACCTTAAGCCTGAACTTTGTCAATGACCTCCTGAAGAAAAGAGGTCAGAAATACACATACAATAAATAAATGAGTGAAATAAAAAGTCCAAGAAAAATCAGGTGAGACGTCTAGAAAAAGAGGAAACAAACTAGAATAAAGTCTAACAATGTAGAGATGTGGGCTTGAAGGAGTCCACCAGCATGAAGGTAAAACCAGAGTGGGATACTCCTCCACCAAGAGAGAGATACTTCGGACACCTGCAACCCTGGACGAGTGATTAGGAAATAGGAAGTGGGCAGGACCCACTCTATCAGCTTTTCGTAGAGAGGCTGCCGTTAGTGTGAGTTCCTGAGAACATATGTTCATTATAGCAATTCACATTATCAGTAAGCTTATTTACATTCTGTGATTAGGCCAACTTTGTAGCTAGAAGCTCACAACTGCCTATAACTCCAGCTGCGGGGGACCTGAAGCCTCCTCTGTACTTAAGAGCATCCATACCCACGGCATACATTCCCTCTCTCCCTCTCTCTTTTTCTCTCTCTCACATGCACATGTATACAAAAATAGAAATAAAAATACATCTTCAAAAATAGTTCCACTAAAGTCTTAGCATCTTTGAACCACACATCAACTATGGATCAATGATGTCACCATATGAAAAGAAAAGTTTTGTTTGTTTGTTTTTGTTTTTCAGGACAGGATTTCTCTGTGTAACCGCCCTGTTCTGGAACAGTTCTCCTGCCTCAGTCTCACGAGTGGTCAGATTATAGACACACACCAAGCCAGTTCTACTTTGTAGATTATTTCTCCTGTGAGTCTGCTGAGTAAGAACTCTCCAGAGAGAGCTGAGGACATGGCTCAAACAGTCCTCTGCACAGGGATAGGACATCAATTCAATCCCCAGCACCCATGTATAAAGCCAGGAGTGGTGACACATGCTTATAATCTCAGCACCAAGAAAGTAGAGACAGGTGGGGTTCAATGGCCAGTCAGCCTACCCTGTTTGGCAAGCTCTAGGCCAGTGGTTCTTGACCCCTTTGGGGTTGCATATCAGATATTTACATTACAATTCAAAACAGTAGCAAAATTACAGCTAAGAAGTAGCAACAAAAATAATTTTATGGTTGGGGTTCACCACAACATGAGGAACTGTATTAAGGGGTTACAGCATTAGGAAGGTTGAGAGCCATTAATTACTCTAGGCCAATGAGAGACCTTGTCTCAAAAAACAAGGTGACAGCAGTTGAGCAACAATACCCAAGGCTGACTTCTGACCTATACACATGTACACAACTACACATATACCTGTACACGCCTGCATACATACACAACTTCAGAGACTAGCCATGGAATATGAATTTTTTAATGGGTAGGAAGGAAGTAAAAAGCTATAGTAGTGACAATACCAGCTGAGACTCAGCTCTCAGTAAGTCACCTAACAGCTCGGTCCGAGTTCCTCCCTCTATAAAGTGGTCGCCTGAACAATCCCTGCATGAGGGCCATGAAGACTCTATTTTTTTAATAATTCATTTTTATTTTATATGAATTGGTGTTTTGCCTTCTGTTTGAGGGTGTTGGATTCCTTGGAACTGAAGTCACAGACAGTTGGAGCTGCCATATGGGAGCTGGGAATTGAACCCAGGTCCTCTGGAAGAGCAGCAATCAGTGCTCTTCTGAGCCATCTCTCCAGTCTCCCTCCCCCCACCAGTGAAGACTCTAAACGCACAGTAACAACAAATGCTAACAAGTAAGAAATATGGGCCATCACTGCCGACACAAAGATAGAAGTTTTAGTTTTCTCAGAGGACTTGGCCTGGAAGACTTCAGTTTAGAAAGTCTCGTTTAGGGACTTCCTATCTGCAATGCAGCACGGACGCCACAGCAGCAGAGGCGGTGCTGTGTCAAAAACACACGTTTCTGAGGCTGGTAAGTGACGTCATAGATACAGCACGAAGGCAATCTACTTAGGTGACAGAGTGAGGATGGCTCTGCGTTGACCAGGGTGTTTTTCACATAGCCAGGCCCTCACTGTGGGAACCAGGGTGACACTTTGCTGGCTCTTACCTCTCAGTGTGGGAACCGGGGTGACACTTTGCTGACTCTTACCTCTCAGTGTGGGAATCGGGGTGACACTGTTTGTTTGCTGACTCTTACCTCTCAGCTGCTGGAGCTCCAGGGTCAGACTCTGAATGCTGCCCTCATAGAGCTTGAGATTCTCCAGCGTCTCTGCCTGCAACGATTCGTCCTGCTTTTCCTCCAGCATCGAGGCCAGCTCTTCCTGAGCCCTGGTGAACACGTCCAAGTCGTGTTCCACGTCCTGAATCCTCCCCAGCACCGTGGGGCACGGAGACTGAGGAGACGGAGCCGTCTGGGCTGGGCTCTGCTCTGCAAGCTCAGGGCACTCCTTCTCCGGGGCCTCCCAACTGGGGTGGGCACAGGAGGTGAGCTTGGGAGAGGCTGCACTCATCCTCTGTTGTGTAGAAGGGGGCAGCGGAGCCGGGCGGGAGGGCCGCACTGCCAAGGGGGGTGCGGGTTTGGGGCTCTGGTCAACCAAGTGGGGAGAAATGGATGTTGGGGTACAGGGTCTGGGTGGTGGTGGCCTCAGGGCCTTTCTCCTCTCGGGGAGCTCCTGTGAGGGAACTGACTTTGGGGAGCCTCTGACAATATCCTTCTCAGAGTTAAAATCCATGATTGAAAAGCGGCGTAAGAGTTTATCTGGCTCTGTGCCAGGCCCTGACAGGCTCTTCTCAAACTCTATCAGCTGTTGGGTCAACTTGGAATCCAGGTCGATACTGTCCCCCTGAGGTGCTGTGGTTACCTCTGTGGCGGGCCCCTTGTCTGGTGGCCTAGGCCACCTCTCTGATCTCTCTGGTGCAGAATAGAGGCTGGAGGCCTTTTCTGCAGATGTCTGGTGCTTTGGACCACAGCTGGCCACAGCTGGAGGACGAAAGTAGCTAGGTTTGACTAACCTTGAGGCTGTGAGAGAGGAGGCCCTGTGAAGTGGGGGTGCTGGCTTCTGGGGGGACCTGCACTGGGCATATGTTGTTTTGGGAGGCAGGCTGGAGTAGTCTCTCGTCCTGGCTTCTAGAGGGACAAAGTCCGAGAATAGGTCTAAGCTTTGGTGGCTCCCTCCTGCTGCTGAAGAAAACTGGCCTTTCTGCACTTGGGGGTGAGAGGCTACCCAAGGCTGGGAAGAAAGACCATTGACTGTCTCTGGGGGGCCAGCTGTGGAAGGGTCTTTAACTAGACCCACACCTGGGGAGCTTCCTGAGTCATCTTCACCCTGACCAGCGTTCTCACTCAGAACACACTCAGGGACGTGGTGGTCTAGGGGAGCGGGGGTTCGCCCAGGCAGACCCCGGTCGGGTTTTCCTGCTTCACACTCCTGTGGGCCGAGTATTGCTTCCTCTACCACGGAGCTCTCCAAACCACCCACAGAGCTTTCAGAGTTCTCAGGGAGACTGTCTTCCTGGGGCAGAAGCACCGTTTCCTCCGTCCTGGTGCTGGGACATAACTTCACAAAGCGATGGGGAAAGATGCCTGTCCTGCCCTTCAAACGTCCTTCTAGCCAGCCGTCCTCCAAGGTTCCCAGAATTCGGATTTTATCCCCTACGTCAAAATCCAACTCATTGGGCTCCAGGGCTTGGAATCTGTAGAGGGCAAGCCCATAGGCCCCTATGGGGTCCTCGTCCTCGTCCGCCCCACTTTCTGTCTCTTCTGTAGAGACGTCTACTTCACCATTAGCGATGCAGTTATCTCCACTTCCGAAATTTACCGACTCATCCACAGTCCGCAGGGGCCCCAAAAGCTCTACGAAACCTTCTGGGAAAATGCCTCTCCGACCATCTAACTCTCCTTCAAACCAGCCCGGCTCAGGAACTCCGATAATGGTGATCAAATCTCCTTCCCTGAAGTCCAGTTCCTCATCCAACTGGGCAGACAGCCCCATGAGAGCCCTTGCTTGCCCCATGGAGTATTCTGGGATCTGAAGCAATGCGCTCTGTGAGTGCCACCGGCGGCTCTGGGAGGTGAGGCAGAGCTCACGAACACAAGAAGAGGGGAAGCAGCCCCGGGCACCCCAGCAGCTTCGGCCCTGCAGCCATCCTGAAGTGGGAGTGCCATCGAGAACCACCAGGTCTCCTGAAGAAAGAAGCAAAAGTCAGAACCTCAACCAGAACCCCAGCCATCGCGGCAGCCAGCAGGGCCTTTCTGTCGTTGAGATAGGACTGCACTGCGTGGCCCAGGCTGTCACCAGCTCTTGTGCTGCAGCCCCCTGAGTGCAGGGCTCTATGTATATTTGTGGAGAGTCTCCCCTTCCACCTCGTGGGGCCCGAAGACAGAGCTCAGGTTGTTGGGTTTGGCAGCAAGCACCTTCACCTGTTGAGGCATCTCGCTGGCCCTATAATAAGATCTTTAAAAGACTCCGGTGACCTGCTAATTTGTTGTTGCAAATAACCAGTACTTCAGGTTATCGTCACAAAATATAAACCCAAAAGTTACCTTTGTGCTAGTGGTTAGACTCGCCTCAGTTTTAAAGATGCACTCCATAGTTCTATAACCAATTACTTTATAACAAATGGCTGATTATGTAATTATGGATATTCATTTTGTGGATTACTAACTTTAATCCTACTTTTAGCCTTCCCCCCGTCAGTGCACGGGTTCACTCTCCGGGGCAGAGCTGCTTGAGGGACACAGAACAGTGGCAAACAGTAAGAAGGAGGGGACAGCAGAGCATGGTTCCTAGTCAAAGGCGATCTGTCATGTTCTTGACGCGATTACTTTAATTGTATGGAGTTTGCCTGCACATGTCTGTTAACCAGGTAGATGCAGTACCCGAGAAGGACAGAAGAGGGAGTCAGATCCCTCAGAACTAGAATTACAGCTGGTTGTGAGTCACTGTGTCGGTGCTGGGAACAGAATCCTGGTGCTCAGCACTCTTCACTTCACAGCCCTCTCTCAGCCTCACTCCTGATTTTTCTTTTCTTTTCTTTTCTTTCCTTTTCTTTCGAGACAGGGTTTCTCTCTGTGTAGTCCTGGCTGTCCTAGAACTCACTCTGTAGACCAGGCTGGCCTCGACCTCCCTGAGATCCACCTGCCTCTGTCTCCCAAGCGCTGAGATTAATGGTGTGAACCACCTGTGCCCAGGACTTGGTTGCTGATTTTTAAAAAGATTGTGTGCCCTACCTTCCCAAGTGCATGTAAGTGACTTCGTGATGGGCACACTTCTCTTTGTATGGTAAGAGTCTGAGATGTTGCCTTTTGCATAGTGAACACTCAGTATCCATTTGTTAATAATGATTATTTTTATTCTTAGCCTCAGCTCTCAAATTCATGGTGTCCTACATCTAAAATTGACCCCATTGCTACCTTCCTTGTTCCTTCTAATTTCTTCTTTCAAAACATTCTCCATTTATTAATTCTCTTTCTAATATCCTAGCCTAGCTTAATCCCCACTGTCTTCCCTTTTAAATATCACCTCAAACATTATTTCTTCCAGCCCATCAAATGATTATAAATGTGCCAATTTTACTGCATCCTTTCGCCTAAACTCCAGGCACCCGAGACATGACCTGCTGCTCATGAATTTCTCTCCTGATAACCCTGCTTTGTTTTCTGAGCTAGGGTCTCACTGCAGAGCACAGGCTGGCCTGAAGCTTGTTCCCGTTCTCCTGCCTCAGACTCCCATGTGCTGGGAACAACCCTATTCTTATTGTCTGGGTTCACATGTTTGCTCTGCGCACACTCTGAGGAGTCTCTTTACCGAGACACCAATGGGCCATTCTGTTTTCACCCCGCTCAAGCCTGTGCTTGGGTTTTATCCAGTCTGTTCTCCAACCATCCATCATGATCTCGCCTATGGCATGAGATCCTGGGAAATCTCACACAAGGGGATTTTTCCTTTGTATGCTTTTGAGGCAGGGTCTCATGATGTCTCCCAGGCTGGCTTCAACCTCGTGACCCGCCTCAGCCTTCTTTCTAAGGGCTTGGGTTAAGCGCGTGTACCACCGCATACTGCTCAACTCCAGATCTCTACTATTGACACTCCCTCTCCATCCGAGATTAGCAGGCTTCTTAAAAACATCTTAGGAGCTCACATTACCTTGACCATCTGTGGTCTAGCAAAGAACCCCACTTCTCCCTTAGGTCCTGGCATTTGCATATTAGCATAGTGTATGGCACATAACATATTTTAGACTTTTATTTAGAGACACCTAAAAATAGTGTCTTGCTCCCATATTCCTGTAGTCCTTAATTTTTGAACCCACATGCACTGGCCAAAGCTTTGGGTCCTGAGAATTACAAGTGTCCCCCCTTCCCCAGTGACCCTAAGGCCTGCCATCCAGGCCACAGAGGGAAGTCACTGGTGACATGACTGCTCAGACACAATGGGTCTCTTGGTGAATAGGAAAATCAAAGCATGCCATAACTCCCACTTTGCTGGCTCTGAAATGCCAGGCTCACTTCAAGCTGTAGAATGACAGTGTTCTCTGTCTGGCCAGAGCTCCATGAACTTGGACAATAGGGCTTGTTTTCCTGTCTATTCCAACAGTGGTTTTGATGAGCTTTGTTTCCGGGCAGACTGTGACTGGGCTGCTTATTCACAGATGATAAAGGAGGATTTTCAAAACGAAATAAGACGACTCCCTCTCAGGCCAGCACACACAATTTAGATGGCACTTTAGTTCACCCCCCCTTATGTTTCTAATTTTGTCCTTTGTTTTCCCTCTTAGTGACTATTTTATTTTATAGGACTGATTGCTCCTGGGATAGGTTTGTTGTTGTCTTGATTTCTCTAGTTTTTGTTTTCAAAAGTCTCCTGTTTTAATTAGTCCAGCAAGCTATTTCCCCAGAGTCCTGAGTAATTCTTTAGGAATGGAGGTACCCAGTGGTTCTAGACTTCAGAAACACCAATATAAAGAATTCCTGAGACGGTGGGACTAGGTTGGGGAACAGGATGGCAGAAATTGTGGTGACCCTCAGGGTCAAATGTGACTACTCCCAGCCACACTGTTTGCCTTTGATTGGAATTTTCCTTTGAACAGGAAGTGGGCTGGAAGTAAGATTACAGAAAGGAATGCAGGTCTTGTTAGACTCTCACAGTCTGTTTCTGCAGGGTCAGCTTCCTCCTTGACTCCACGCATGGCACTAGCTGCCCAGGAGACGGTGTGCGTCAGACCACACTTCTCTTTATCCTATTCATCTCACGGCATTAAATATTAATACAGATCAGTCACTAACTTAGTTACACATTATCAGTTCATTTTATTGGCCCTTTGAGAGGAGGTTGGCTGGAAGTACAAGGTGTAGACAGCCATAAGCATTGTGTGTTCTATGAGAAAATGATGGACGGTATCCCATAATATACAGCCTTTTCCTGTTCTCAGTCTCCTGATCTTTTTGTCTTTCCCTTGACATATTCCTTCCTTCCTTCCTTTCTATTTGTTTTTCTTTTTTCTTCACTTTTTTTCTTTTCTTTCTTTTTTTTTTTTTGACAGTTGGTGATTCTAGCCACTCATAGTGACTCTTCTAGAAGACAGTTCTGTTTCTGAACCCAAAACATAAACAGTCCAAAACAATTGGGTGGCTTCATGACAGGGGGAAGGGTGACACCTGCTGGAAGATTACGGATGACTCTAACTCCAGGTAGACTGTCGGGGGAAACATGCCATCCATCCATCCCAGTTTCAGGTGATGATGGCACAAACAGCCCTCAGGAGCCAGAGTTATTCTCTTTGCCTGGCTTACACTATAACCTCACACGAGTCTTCTCAGTGCTGACTTAGGCAGAAAATCTTGCTCTTAAAAAATTTTTTTTTGAAATCTAAGACTTGACCATACAACATATAATGTTGAAGCAACACTAATTCTAGCAGATATTCTCTCAAATTCTTCATAATATTAAATGTAAAGTTTATTTACACACGATACATGCTTCTACCCATTGTTTTCAGCAGAAGCCAGGACTAGGGAAGAAAAAGCCCATGCTAAAGCTGGGGGTGTGACTCCAAGGCAGAGTGGCTGTCTCGCTGCCTAGCGTGCAATGGCTGGGTTTCAGCCTCCAACACCAGATCAAGCAAACAAGCAACAAGCAGCCCATTCTGCTCATACCCTGTGCATGGCTCACAGAGACACCAGCAGGCTCGTGTCCTCCTCCTCCTACCTGGGGAGGCCTGCTCTGGACTCCAGACCACCCTGGTAGAGCTACGAGCGAGGACAAAGACCCTGCTCATGGTCTCGTTCACAGTCTTCAGTGTGATTAGCAAGAAGGCTACAGACCAGAGGTAGAGACAGAGACTGAGTACACACTAACACGCAAGAAAGTCCCAAGACATCGAAAAATCCAATGTTCTTTTCCTCTCGTTGACTAGGGGCTTGGTTCCCCTCTGTGTGTGTGTGTGTGTGTGTTGTGTGTGTGTGTGTGTAGGAATTAAGCCCGTGCCTTCAGCATCATACTAAAGAATAGTTACAATACAAACGCACAGTTTGTCAGCTCTTCTGTTTGGATAAGTTGCCTGGGACATCACAAGCCTCAGGCTGCAGCGCTACTGCTCTCTGTTTGTGTATAAAGGCATGGACTTAGCCAAGTGGACATGTGGAAACTGTTTCCTGCCCATCTTTGGAGGTCTGTGCCTGCTAGAGTACAATGGTGAGAAATACCTGACACGTCCTGAGGATGCGGCTAGCACCATCTGTTTAAACTGTTCCCTGTAATGGGGCAGCCTTGCATCTAGCTCTTATTGGCCACATCAAAATGACTGTTTCCCCGTGGTACATTAGTATAGAGTGATGTCAGCAAATCACACAAGGCAGTATTTCTGGGGAAGATATTACCACTGTCTGAAGTGTCTACAACACTGGACTGAGGATACGCTGAGAGTCGCTGTCCTGAGCCCATACTTCTTACCTGTAGTTATGCACAATGGACAGTTACCAATACTGCCAATGCTGAAGCTTCCATAAGAATACTTTTGTAGGGGCGGCAGAGATGGCTCAGCAGTTAAGAACATGTACTACTGTTACAGAGGACGGGTTCCCAGCACCCACATCAGGCAAGTGGAAGCCCAGCCAGGGATCCCTTGCCCTCTTCCTATTTCCCAGGTACCTGCACTCATGTATACATATTCATATTTCACCCCCCCACATGATTAAACATAAAAATAGACTGGCATGGTGGCACACACCTTTAATACCAGCACTCAGGAGGCAGAAGCAGGTAAATCTCTGTGAATTGACGCCAGCCTGATCTACATAAGAAATTCCAAGCCAGCAAGGGATATATGGTAAGACCCTGTCTCAAAAAAAAATAAAAATAAAATCTAAAACAATAAGAGAATACCTTTCCGGGAAAATCCTATGCCAATTGTCAAGCCCTGCTAGCATAAGGCTGCGCTCTCTCCTGCACTGTGTCAGCACTGCAGACTTCACAGAGACTGACTAACCAGTGCCAACATCTTTAAAAGACCCTGTCCTCAAGATTCTGCGCTCTCTCCCGCACTGTGTCAGCGCTGCAGACTTCACAGAGACTGACTAACCAGTGCCAACATCTTTAAAAGACCCTGTCCTCAAGATTCTGCCGGCCTCCGATGCTCTCTTACCTCGATGGAGAGAAAGACTGTTCGGCTCCCGAGATGTGAATTCGCAGGTGCAAACAAACAGACTCTCCCCCTCTTTCAGGCTGGGGATTGTGACAGCCTCCACAAAGCTGCTGGGAAACTGTCCTGAAAAACAGAAGCACACATGTTAAACATGGAGTGTTCTCATAAGATCAAATTTTCTTTGTCTGTCTGTGTTCCAGGACGACTCTGTTTTTCAGTCCATTCACAAGCATAGATTGAAAATTGACCTATCTAATAATTAGAGAACTTACAAAGGTAAATAAAGTACGCATCACAGAACAGATGTATGCAGAGGACACCGAGACTGGGCCAGGGAGATGGCTCTGCAGGTAAAGGCACGTGCTGCCTGACAACTCACGCTAGACTCCCAGGTCCCCATGGCATAAGGAGAGAAATGAATCCTGCAAGAGGTCCTGTGCTCTCCACATGCACACACACATACACACACACACAGAGGCACACACTACACACACACAGATGCACACATACACAGAGGCACACACATACACAGAGAGACACACACAGACACACACAGGCACACACACAGGCGCGCACACACACACACACAGACACACACATACACAGAGAGACACACACACAGAAACACACACACAGACACACATACACAGAGAGACACACACACACAGAGACACACACACATACACACACACTACACATACACAGACACACACATACACAGAGAGACACACACACACAGAGGCACACACACTACACACACACAGACACATACATACACAGAGAGACACACACACAGAGACACACACAGACACACACAGGCACACACACAGGCGCGCGCACACACACACACAGACACACACATACACAGAGAGACACACACACACACACAGAGACACACACACAGACACACATACACAGAGAGACACACACACACACAGAGGCACACACACTACACACACACAGACACACACATACACAGAGAGAGACACACACACACAGGCACACACACAGGCGCGCACACACACACACACACACAACCTAAATAAGCTTTAAACACAGGCACTCTGGCACTCTAACAGTTCACCGAAGAAGGAAATGTGAGCTGGGTGGTCTTGGTCTTCAAAGATCTGAAAATCTACTTAGATAAAATGGATAATGGGACCCTGAAACCCACACACATAGCCATGGAGGTTCAGAGGAGGCTGAGGATGGGTCGGGAGGAACACAAGGTTTTTATGAAGCAGAGCAGTTCAGTCTGAAGACGGGTAGAGTTTTATAGGTAGTGTTGGAAGACAGGGCCTGCCAGCTGGAGGAAAACAAGAGATATTTCCTGAATCTGCTCACATATCCCCAGACCCACCACCTTGGTATGATCCATTATCGCCTGCCTTCTGGGTGACAGTGGATCTTTTAGAACTCGCTCTGTAGACCAGGCTGGCACTCACAGAGATCCGCCTGCCTCTGTGATGCTTTATTTTATGTGTATGTGTGTTTTATCTGCTCTTTATCTACACACCATATGCAGGCCAGAGGCTCCTCTGAAACTCCAATTAGATTGTGGTGAGTTGCCATGGAGAAGCTGGGAATCGAACCCAGGCCCTCTGGAAGGGCAGACAGTACTCTTAACCACTCAGCTATCTCTCCAGTCCCTGGCCCCTTATTCTTAAAGTAAGAGCAGCGACATTTCTAGGACAAGTAAGAGCAGCGGCATTTCTAAGACACGGATCTGGCGATGTTGAAAGCACCAGGTTCTGGCTTCCTCAACTTCTTACCTCGTACACCTTGGTTCCCTGGACTCCTCAACCTCTTGGTGGCCTACTCATGTTACCTCAGCACCCCTGTGTTCACAACCATGTTAGGGCCACTGAGCAAGCAATTCTCTCTGCCTTGCTAACACCTACTCGCCGGCTTTATCTGAACAGAAGCCATGACTTCTACTAGAAAATAATCTGTGTATTCCCCCAATGATGGTAAGTGCTCCCAGCACCTGCTCTCAGAACTACATCACATACTCCAGGCCAGATGCACCCAAACATGTGTAAATGAAGGACTAACTTAGTATAACTGTGTGGCATGTGATGGGAAGCTCTGCCGCTCTTTAGGGCAGTTAATGGAGGAAACCCATGTTAACATGAATCTCAGAACAGAAGAAAGGGAACCAGGAGCACAAGCGTGGGAGACAGGAGCATCCACAGTAGAGGGTGGCTTTAATTGATTTTTGTCAATGCATATCTAGGAGGGACTGAGGAGGATAAACCAGTCTCCCCTGAAAAGGATGGGAGAGGGGACAGGAGCTGTTAAAGGGAGAAAGCCCATGCTTACCCGAGGCAAGCTGCCTGCGAGGAGCAATGATAAACACCAGGAGCTCCGAACAGAGGAGTAATGCACAATTTGAGAGGGGAATAAGAATGAAAGACGGAGCACTGGGAAGGGAAAGAGAAAACAGACAGAAAACTAGGCTGGCGCAGCAGGTGTCTACCCGTCCAGCCTCCACAAGAGATCAATACAGAGAGACGGCAGCGACTCTCCTCACAGGCCAGAGCCATGTGTGAGCACGGAAGGAAGACGTGGCAAGAGCGACATTACCCACTTGGACTTCCCATTGGACCTTCAATGTGCAAAGAAGAGGGGGCTGTGTGTAGAGGGAAACCTCTTACCTGTAACATCTTCCTTCTTTCCTAGAAGCCAAAATTCATCCACCACGGCCAACACCTCAATAACATCTCCCACGAAGAGGGGCAGCTCCTCTGAGACGCTAGGGCAGAAGTCAAAGATGGCTCGGACCACGGAGCCAGCCTCCATGCTTCACAACCTAGAAATCCCAAAGCATGAGAAAACACAGGTATTTAAGGCATACCATAAACCTGTTTTTTAAAAACCTAACACCTAAAATAGGAAGCTAATAGAAATGCAATAGAAAATATATAAAATATAAAATGTAAAGTTGTTTCTTTAAAAATAATAATTTATGTCATGTGGTGGTGGTGCACAATTTTAATCCCAGCACTTGGGAGGCAGAGGCAGGCGGATCTCTTGTGAGTTCAAGACCAGCCTGGTCTACATGACCTAGCTCCAGGACAGCCTCCAAAGCCACACAGGGAAACCCTGTCTTGAAAAACCAAAGGAGGAGGAGGAGGAGGAGGAGAAGGAGAAGGAGAAGGAGAAGGAAAGAAAACCAAAGAAGAAAGAAAGAAAGAAAAAAACCCAAAAGACTTCACATTTCATATAGCATTTCATCCATTTCCCATGACAATCATAAGACGAGGATGGTGGCCATCTGCAAGCAGACACTCTAATTTGTCCAAGAACACAGAGCGGCAGGGCCAGAACTCACACACCAAGGGTTGAAACCCACAGAAACACGGAAGTTCATGAAAAGAATGAGAAAGGGCCAGAGATGGTGTCTCTAGGGGATGTTTCTTACCAGCAGACCAAGCATATGTTTCTGGTTTGAAGATGCCTGTGGCCCAATCTGCACTGTCGCAATGCATGATGGACCCATTACCCTGTTGTGTCGGGTTGGCATACTAAGGATGTGTCTATACACTAGCAAAAGGGCACGAGAGGCATCTGTGTGTTCACTTGGGAATGCTCAGCCATGATTGGATCAACCTTCTCCAAATGCCTTCCCAGGGACTGCACCAGGGCATCTCAAGTTCTCCAGGCTGGCCCAGTGTTTCTTTCTTCTCCTCAAAGATTCACTCAGTATTGTTAGAGGAGTAGATATTTTTTCCATCTCACACATGACTAACCTCATCAAAAAGCACCGGACAGATCAGTGAGAAGGCTCAGCTGATAAAGGTGTCTCCAAGCCCAGCAACCAGAGTTTGATTCCCAGGACCTATGACAGGGAAGAGAACCAGGGGCTTGAGGGACAGCCAAGCAGTTAAGAGTGCTTCTGGCTCCTCTAGGGGGCATGCCTTTGATTTCCAGCATCCAAGTCAGGTGACTCACAACCGCCTATGATTCTAGCTTATAGGAAACCAAAGCCCTCTTCGGGCCTCTGGGGGAACCCACATGATGTGAGATAATGCTCTTGTTCACTGTAAAGATTTGTCACTTATATTGGTTTAATAAAATGCTGATTGACCAGTAGCCAGGCAGGAAGTACAGGCAGGGTTACCAGACTGGGAGAATTCTGGGAGCAGGAAAGGGAGAGACACAGTCACCAGCCAGATGCAGAAGAAGCTAGATGAGAATGCCTTATGGAGAAAGGTACCAAATGAGAGATAAAAATTATGGGTTAATTTAAGTTGTAAGAGCTAGTTAGTAATAGGACTAAGCAACAGGCCAAACAGTTTATAATTAATATAAGCCTTTGTGTGTTTAATTGAGACAGAATGGCTACAGGACTGGGTGGGACAGAAAATTCTGTCAACACCCACATACACAAGATACACACACACACACACACACACACACACGCACACGCGCACACACACGCACGCACGCACACATGTGCGCGCATATGCACAGAGAGAGAGAGAAAGTAAATAAGTATGTATAAGTATTTAAAAAGAACTAAATGCCTAATGGAAAGAAAACATTAAGCTACAACCGTAGGCTTACAACTTTCACTGGTGTGAAAAAAAAACACAGGAAGCGTCTAATAAATAGCAGTATATTGATATTTTGCCCATGTTCCATAATTAAATATTACACATTTGATTTGTGCTGTCGGGTCAAAGTCGCTTGTTATTGTATTACTGGGATTTTGTTTTTCAATAATGGGATGACTGGGGCCACAGCACAAAAGAGAAGTGGCCCCCGCACTCCTCGTCCCTGTCCACCTCAGGCTTTCTGCTTTCCCTTTTCCTCTTAAGGTGCTTTGCATAGAACCCAGGGCCTCACACATGCTAGACAAGGGTTATACTACCGAGCATCTATTAAAAGCATCTAATTAGCTATGCCTGGTGGTGCATGCCTTTAATTCCAGCACTCAAGAGGTAGAGAGATAGTCATCTTTGTGAGTTGGAGGCTGGACCGGTCTATATAATGAGCTCCAGGTAAGCCAGGGCTATATAGTTAAAAGCAAAACAAACAGACAAAAAAAAAACCCAAATCTAATATTTGTATAAAATACTCTGAAGTGATAGCATAGTGTGTATATAAAACACTAGGCTTCTGCAGTGAAGAAGAGCCAAGTTCAAATCCCGGCTTTACTATTCATTACTTATTCACCCTGGACACATGGCTTAAACTCTCAGGCCTTCCGTTTCCATGACCTGAGAAATGAAGATGCTAATACTTCTACAGTAACCGTCATGAGGATGACTATAATGATAGAGATCAGTGACCAACGCTGACACAGTGCTTCCTCATGCCACACACTGTACTGTGGGACACATCAATGAGTCCTCACAATGACCCGCCCATTTATTATTAGTTCCCAATGGGCAGATGAGGACACAGGTTCAAAGAAGTGATAAATTCTGTCAAAGGTCACACAGGAAGTCAGAGACAGAATGGGAATCCAAATCGTCTGTCACCAAAGCCTTGCCTAGTATGCTGAATGAGTGCACTGAGGACATGACAGGCATAGTAGCCTCTCAATAAACATTAGTGCCTATTATAAGTCACTTTCACAATTAACTACAAGTTCAAGTCTGTGTCTCTGATTACCAAAGAATGTACAAGCAGACAAACACGTCAATACTTACTATTTCAACATGGTTAGTTTAATCTTGACCATGTTTTAAAATGAGCACATGGGGTCGAGTGGGATGGCACATACCCCAAAATCCTGGAACTCAAACAGCTGAGACGGGACAACTTTGAAACCCAGACCAGCCTGCTCTCTGTAGTCAGATCTTGTATGAAAAGCAAAGCCAAACACATCGTGTGCCTTTCTGACATCTCCCAAAGAAGATACCAAATGGACGTGGCTTACTCAACAGCGGGAAGCAGGTGCACTGCTGCGGCCGTGCAGTGCGGGGCTGCATTTCCCCTCAGCCACGGCCCTGGACAGTTACAAGCCCCAGGCCTTCTGCGTGCTGCAGCCTGCTTCAGCTTTCAACTGGCCTCCCTCATCCGCTTCATTTCTTAAACAGATTTATCTATTTCTTTTTATGCATATGGGTGTTTTGCCTATATGTGTGTCCCCACACCACATGTGTGCCTGGCGCCCAGCAGAAGAGGATGTCAGGTCCCCTGGAACTGGAGTTACAGATGGTCGTGCGCTGTCATGTGGGGTCTGTGAACTGAGCTGGGTCCTCTAGAAGAGCAGCAGTGCTCTTACGTGCTGAGTCATCTTTTCAGTCACTCCACCCTCCAATCAGCCTTTCCACCCTCTTCTTAATTTTTATATTTTTGAGACAGAGTCTTAACCATGTAGCCCTGGCTGGAACTTGCTATGCAAACAAGACTGGCCTTGAACTTACAGAGATCCACCTTGCTTCTACATCCCAAATGTTGGGACTAAAGGTGCACACCTCCGTACCCAGCTCAACATACTTTCTAGTGGGCTGTTTACAATCCACAGCACCAACTTCACTAAAAGTTCTCAGATCAATAAAAGTAAGCAAACTCTAGATGGCAGGCTGACACTCCCACAGAGCTAAAGGGCACACATTGGCCTGGAGATTTCAACAGCTTTCAAGTGCTCTGAGGCCCCTTTCTTAGTGTCTGGCTGTCTTCCAGGCATCTGAAGTTACCAGATGTCAGATTTCTGCAGGAGGGTCACGTCTAAGAATTTTTTAAAACAGAAAACTAAGCACAACATTTGACAAGTCTCTTAGCCATCTATGTTATTAAAATAAGCCCTCAGGGTTGGATCAAGATGGACATACTTTTCTGGTACATTTTTTCAAAGTTCTCGCTGTCTGACCAAATGTACGGCTCGCTCCCTGAACTGCTAAGAAGCAGCCTCAGACCCACTGATTCCGTGTGTTCCAGTCCTGTGAGCTGAAAGGGTTAAGCCTTCCTCCTGGCACCTTTTCACACCACCGGAAAGTGACTCATACACAGAGGAGAATCTGGTTCAATAAACTCTTTTACTAACTGACCTCCTACTCTGCTGGAATGAGTGTGGAATCCCGAGAACACACACCCTAGGAGGGCACAGAAGTCACAGCCCCCATGATTCCTGTGTGCAACCAGACGGCGGGGCTTGACGGCTCCCACTTTATGTAGGTGATGAACTCTTCCGGAGTTGTCCCTGCCCTGTACACACACTGAGAAGCACCTATTGTCACCCACGCTGGGGCCATTTTAGACGCCCGAGTTTGGTTCACAACTTAATCATGGGTGGCTTCTGTCAGCTGCTCTAATCCACATGGAAGTTTGTAGGAGACACTGCAGGGCAGATGGGCAGTGGCGAAGCTGGGGAAGTTACTGTCCAGTGCAGCACAGTGTCAGGGACATCGAAAAGATGCAGAACGCCACCCCTTCCTACTGGTGAACACCTGTTTCCTCCTCCGAAGAGGTGCTCCACGTCTCTAATATAAATATCCTTGGAAACCCTTTCAGAAGGTGAACTCTGTGAAGGAAGCCTTTTCGTCTGTCTGGGGGCCCACGGCAATGCCAGTATGGGAAAGCTTAAGTGACTGACAGATCTGATGGAAATATCTGAAACTGCTCACATCTGAGCCCATAGTTCTGCTCACCTAAAGGCAAACCAACCACCTAGGGCATAAACAGCTCCAGTCTCCAGTGTGCCGAGGTTTGACTGGGAAGCCGTGTGAGCCCTCCAGGTTAAGCGTGGGTAAGAGGCTTCTTGGCTCTAGGAGCCCAAAGGACACTAAGAACGGCTACCATCTGAGTGCTCACCACGCCACATGTGCCAGATTGATCCAGGAGCCTGCAGCATCCACG